AAAAAAAAAAAAAAATTTATTCAGTGACTAAATAAATACTAAGATGGTCACAAAATTTTATAGAGGTTGCAGACCAAACTATTTTTGCAAGATTATAAGACATAATATCAAACCTGATTAATAACATGGTAATCCAAAACGGGTTCTTCAGCAATTTTAAAGTGACAAATGTTAGAGACAAAAATCGACCATGTTTATTTCGGAAACAAAGGCTCACCTTTCGGCTCCTGCACAATAAGATGTGTACACTCATTCATTTTCAGCTGCCCCATGTATCGGCCGCCATGCTCAACTGTGAGCCGCTGCACCGCCTTCCTGTCGAAGCCACACAAGCCAGTCACACAGATTATGCAACCAAGAAAAACAGGGCACTTGAAGTCTTCCATGTTTAAATCAGTATATTTATCTATTTTTCTGGGAAAAACAAATGGTAACAAGAAACACCAATATGTTACATACCAAACATGAAACATAGTTTTAAATTTAACCTAAGAACAATGACAAATGAAGTTATGACAGAAAGAATACTCTTATGCTATTCTCATTCAGAGAGCTTACAAACATATGCAAATTTAAACTAATTGCTCACTGAGCATAAAACTATGTCACTATTAGAAACTAAAACTTAGGTTCAGGTTTTCAAAAACATTTTAAGGAGAACATAATCCTAGTGTACATGCTGCCCAAAGAGGTGTGGTGTCCACAATTCTGACACAGATGGTTTAGGTTGTCTTCTAGAAGAAGGAACTTTTTAGAATTCTATCATGCTACATAACAAACAATGTTTTTTGGTAGAGTACCAACAAAAATACCATTACCATCCTGTTGCCTCGCTGTGTATATTCATTAATGAAAACAGTATAGCTGAGGCATGTGATGCAGTTCGGTGGGGGAATAACAGTGCCAATGTAGAGACATGTTTGGGATGTGCTGTGCTAGATGGTATTAAAAGCCATGCAAGAAAAATGCCTATGTAATTCAAATTGTGGTGTCTGGCCTTAGGACTGCTGATCTAATCCTTCTCAGAGAAACTTAACTCTCTCCCCTGAAAGGGATCTATGTTCCACCACGGCAGGGATGGCACTCCGATCTGCACAATGAGCTGGGTACATTCATTCATTTTCCATTGTCCGTGTATTGACATGCATGCTTAACTGCGTATTTTATCTTAATAACTACCTGCAGCCACGATCATAAAAGTGACAACATTCTCCGTTGATGGCTTACATGGTTATGTTCAATTTACGTGTGTTCCCTTTGAGGGGGAAATAGGGCTATGAAAACAGTCTCACTGTAACAGTTCACTCTCTCTGTTGACCTACATGCACAGTACTTGGGGATAATGCAAAACAACAAAGAGTTGCAACATTGTCACATTGATCTTCTAGGGTATTTTACAACTTACTACAAAGCTTCTGCTATAAAATCTCAGAGCATGCAAAAATGACTGAATATAGACTATTTTCAAATACAGAAAATATCTATACAGCTCTTACTTCTCTTGTGACTTCTTCCAAAGTGTTGTTATCCAAGAAGGAAGCAAAATAGGCTTCTTTAGGTTTGCAGCGACGAAATATTTTTTGCTACCAACTTCTCCAGCAATAAGATGAGTCACCGATACGTGAAGATCTTTATATACGCGTCCACCCATCATTTGTACATAATTGTGAACTTCTTCCTGTAGCATCAAAATATATTATTCAAGCTGAAATCAACATCTTTTTAAAAAAATCATTTTATTAGGGGCTCGGACAACTCTTATCACAATCCATACATACATCCATTGTGTAAAATACATTTGTACATTTGTTGCCATCATCATTTTAAAAACATTTTCTTTCTACTTGGTATCAGCTTCTCATTTTTCCACGCTCTGTCCTCCACCCTCCCTCCATCATGAACCCTTGATAATTTACAAATTATTATTATTTTGTCATGTCTTACATTGACTGATGTCTCAATTCACCCACTTTTTTAATTGTCCATCCCCCTGGGAGGGGAGCTATATGTAGATCTTTGTGATGATCGGTTCCCCCATCTTTCTTTTTTTATACAATATGCCAAATACTTTGTTGTTAGCTTAAATACACCAAGGTTTCTTACTATTGTTAAATTAAGTAATTAGCCAACATCCTAGTTTTTAGAGGTACGATGGGTAGGAAGAATAGATCTCAAAATCATTACCATTACACATTCATCTCTCCCAACTCACTATATTGTGTTGTTTCTATTAACGCTCTACTCTTATATATATATTTTTTCTTTTATATTTTATATAATATTTCAAAATATGTAAACAGCATATACTTATATGCCTCCCACAGGATCCCTTTTTTAAAAAGAGCCTGTTATCTTACAAATATTTAAGTGATTGTAAAGTAAGTGTAAGTGAAAATAAGCTTAATAGCTGTGTAGGAACAACACCATGAATTTCTTTTTAATCAAAACCCAAACAAAAAGTTCAATTAGCTTTAGTTTTCAATTAGATTTTAATGTGTTCCATTTATCTTTAAAAACCCTATTGCTGTATAAAGCTTGTAATAAGGCAAGAATACAAAGCATAAGGTCCCTCAAGGCATCTTTTGACACCGTGAGAAAACTCTGGAAATAAAGTCCATTTACCATGGTATTCCTTTCAACCACCTACCCTTTTTTCTCTATCGAGGCTTGTGCAAGATACAGTTACATCAGACAAAATCATATTGTAAACTGGGAGCTCAGCTCTAGGAACGTATTGCTGGTGATGCATACAATAGATAACTACTTGAGGACCAACAATTCTGCATCCAAGCTACAAGTAGAAAAAAAGAGAGGGGTTAAAGGTGTCAGTAAGTTAAGTCGGCAAAGGCTATCAGTCTTACAAAATTGCATTTTGCAATACTTGCCAATTCTTTGTAGAAGTTGACAACTGCAGAGAAACCACTAAGTTGTTACAAGTAAAAGTAGTATAGTTTCTCAGAAACATTATATGTTAAATATACACAATCAAAAGCATTATCAGATAATGCAAGTTATCAAAAGAAATAAGCTTCAAAAGTCTGTCTCACGCATAATTTGCATCAAAATGTAACCCTCTGAACAACCAAGCATAATGTTAATAATTGGGAGACCTGCAATAGTCTGACTGCAGCAGTTAGAAAATTCCACACGTGCTTTTGAAATGAAGCACCCAGCAAAGTAAGTATTTCACGTTATTTAAGTGTGTATAGGGCCATCTACAAGTAACCCCCACCTCCAAAATGGCTATTACTGCATTTTCACACAAATAAGGCGCACTTGTTTTTTTTTAAAACCACACGCCATTTTCAGAAGTACCCTATATCACTTTCTTTTCACGTTGCTGACTCCCACCCCTCCACTCCCCCAAGTTTCTCCTCTCCAATGGATTTAATGTTGTGCATGTTGCCATAGAGGTTTGTCTCCTAGCGTGACCCCCACTAGTGTACCCTGGAGTGTTTACAGCAGTCCCCTCCCAGAGCAGGGCACCCTCCCTGCTTGTAAATCAGTTTCTCCAAGGCAGGAAGAGGTTCCTTCACACCAAAAGCAGCCCTTCCAGGGTGGCCAGCCCTAGCACAGAAGGTACAGAAGCCTGTACACCCTGGGCTGGCCTGCTATGGCTGGGCACCTCCTGCCCGGCTGGCTGGCCAGTGCCTTCTGGCCATTTGAAACTCCTGCTCACACAGACACTGTAGGGCACGTATGAGAGCCTTGGGTGCAGAGGGGATGCACATCCCCTGGTCAAATGAGACAGGTCTCACCGACTGACTGACTGGAGGCCCCACAGCCAAGGCAGTGTACATCCAGAGCAGCACTGACCCACCACTCAGTTTCACGTTGGGGCTAGCATCAAAGGACGCAGGCAAGCATGGGCAATCACCTCCACGCAGAGGGACCAGCCAGTCCTTGGGCTCTGGCAGCCCCAACCCTCCACCTTTTCTAGCGCAAGGTAAGTGGGTGCAGATGGGCTACAAAGAACCACTACCACCAACTGCCCCAGAGCAGTTTCCAGGGTTTACTTCTGGTTACCAGGGGACACCAAGCCATCTGTGAGTTAGTGACCATGGTATCTTTAGTTTACAAACACAACCAAGAGTAACAGGGAATGTAAGTACTTTATTTGCACTTCAATGTTTTCCCAAGAAAGACAGGTAAAACTTTAAAAAATAGCCTTTTTATTCTGATTGGTAGTAAGAAACATGATATAGTCTTTCTCAACATTGGCAAACTTGAGACCAAACTAAAAAGCCAAAACCCTACGGCTGCGAAAGATACCACTGATTGCTCTGGCTGATTTAAATATCTACAGGGTACATAAATGATTGCTGCTATCTGTAGGGCCAAGACTGAAAAAAACAAGTTGTTTTTGTTGTTGTTTTGAGAGAATAAAATTTCTTATGCTACTGATTCTATCTGACAACCAGAGGTATTTCCAAAGGGCAAGTAAAACTGAGGTTTTTGGCAAAGGTGGGCACTTGCCTTTCATAAATTATACAGAAACTGCATCTACCTACTCTTCTAAGTTTTCTTCTCCTTCAAACAAAAATCACTTCTTTGTAATCTGGATGGAATTCCAGCCAGTTTACTTTAATGTCAATGCATCTGTCTTGTCCAGACACCAAAAAAGTAATGAGTCAGTAGACTCTAGAACCAACAGAAAGAAGTAAGAGCCTCAATTGTACAGTAATACTTATACAGTTCTCATTTTCCGTCCGAATGCAGCAGAAGCCCATCATTAAAAGGTTCACTCAAAGTGTTAGTTCACTAAGACAAACATAAGTTTAAAGATATGGAACTACAAGGAACAGTCTTAGGCTCTAGCAATTAGGAAAGATCACATGTACTAAGTGAAGTCGTAACCATGAAAACATTAAAAACTACATATAATTACTACTCATAATTAGTCTTTATAAAATGATATTCAGGCCCCCCAAAATAAAAAAAGATACCATTGTGTTTGTGACCTGCATAACATTTCAGGGTCACTAAAGAATTGATGTCCATGGATGCAGAAACAAGGCAAACACTAGAGGTCGGCAAACCTTTTTGAGGTGATCAAACACTGTGCCACTAAAAGGGTCACAGATAAAAAGTGATTTATCATCTTTCTCTATCTTCAATGCTTCTTCTTCCGTAATGATCTGAAGATATTCTTCTGACTTGAACTCTTTTATTGACTAGAAGGAAAAATGAAATGAAAATGCAATTGAAATTAGTCGCCTGCATTTCAATCCTATGAACTCTATCGTCACAATCCACATCAAATCCAGCCTTTTGTGTCACACCTTACTGTTACCACCCAATTGCTCACTACTTCCATCTTCTTGGCTAAACCTCTGGAGCAGCTCCCAAGTGGTCTCGGCTTCCCTGCTCTGTATCAATTCTCTAGCACAGCAGCTAAAAATCCCTTCACACGTGATCGGACTTATCAGATCAAGCCACATGGCTCAAAACTCTAAAAGCTTCCCACTACACGAAGCACAGAATCTCTGTTTCTTACCATAATCTAGGAGAACATCCGCTCTGGCTCCTGCCTCTTCCCTTTTGCCTACGCTTCTACTGTCACTCCAGTTCTCTGGCTAAGCCTGGAATAAGCTAAGCACAATCTCATTTAGAGATACTGTCTTGCTGCTCCTGCCAGAAATACTCTACTAATTCTTCCTCACTTTTATTAAGGGCTCGGCAAACCCTTCCTGATCACACTTTGGAAAATATCCTTCTCTTATGGCTTTAGCTTATTTTGTAAAGAAAAGTAACACAGAGGCTACATAAAGTCTGTGGGAATACGGTTATCTTTTCATTCCATTCCCACAGAAACCTTCAGAAGCTCTGTGGTATCATTGTGTCTCTGTGCCCTGTGACAGCAAGAATTTCACTTTGGGGCCATTATGTCCTGGAACCCAGTAAGCACTGAGATGTCTTAGAACAAATCTGGAAGCCTTAAGTCCTCAAGGTGATCCTTTTAAAGCACTGTCAGGCCAGAAACGGCTGGATCGAACTCCTGACTGGTTCTCTGCCTAGAGAAAAAGCCTAAGTCCTTACAACAGCCTACAAGACACTACATGCTTTCTTTCCAGTCCCTTGTCTTTCCCCACTCACTGTTCACTTTACAACAGACACATAAGTGTTCTTGCTATTTCTTGGGCAAACCATCCAAGAACCTCCCACGGGCCTGTTCCCTCTGTCTGAAACCTTCTACCTCACATTATCGACACAGCTATTTCATCTCTTTTAAGTTCACTCAAATATCTTGGCCACAAGGCTGACCCTGACTTCATTCTATTTAACATTGTAATCTTCTCTTTCTCCCGGCAACAAACATCCTCCAGGCCTGCGTTGCCATTTCCCTCCCACAGCACTGAGAGCCTGCAGTGTACTACACCCGCCTGCCACGAAGGCAACTGCAGCCCATAGTGACCTTGCACCAGGTCTCCCCGCTTCGTTTTTCTCAAAGCAGCTGGTGGGCTCGATCTGTTGAACTGAATAGTTAGCAGGCCGGTGGGTAACCCCATTACACCATGAGGACTTCATACTAGTCGGTTTACTCATATAGAAGGGAGCTTCAAAAAGTTTGTGGAAAAATGGAATGAAAAGATCATTTTTTCCACGAAGGCTCCCCAAACCCTTTTATGTTTACTGATGAATGTCCATTCCCACTTGCTAGAACGTAAGCCTGAGAAAGCAGTTTTCATGCTCAAACACAGGTTCTCAACCTTCCTCATGCCACGTGTGGTGATCACACCCCAACCAGAAAATTATTTTGTTACTTCATAACTGTAATTTTGCTACTGTTATGAATTGGGTGACCCCAGTGAAAGGGTTGTTCGACCCCCAAAGGGTCACGACCCACAGGTTGAGAATCGCTGCTCTAATAGCTGGTGCATCCCAAGAACCAGAACAGTACCTATCAAGTCCTGGACACTTAGTATGTGGTGAGTGTGAAAAATCTGCTACATTCTTCCCTGCACGGTTTTAATGTGGGCAAGATTCATACTGGGGTTCTCGTTAAATTGCAGGTCTTCATCGTTATAGTTATGTGTAAGGCAGGGGGTGAGAATATGCAAGTCTACCAAACTCCCGGCAAGACTGGAGTTAGGTCTGGAATGGCAGCCCTCTCAAAACTCCACTAACAGAGTCGATTCTGACTCACTGCCCCTGTGGGTTTCCCAGGCTGTAACTCTCTATGGGAGTAGAAAGCTTCACCTTTTTTCCAGTGGAGCAGCTGGTGGTTTCCAACTACTGACCTTCAGACTGTAGCAGCACAAGGCAAAACCCACTACACCACCATGACTCCTACATCACCTCAAGACCCTTGATATGATATTGTACATAATGAAACATGCTATTAACCAAAAAATGCTGACATGTGACCTGATTTCAATTTATTCACACACAGAACCACTGTGGTTAGACAAAACTCACTGCCATCGAGTCAATGCTGACTCACAGTGACCCTACAGGACAGGGTAGAACTGCCCCTGTGAGTTTCTGAGAGTGTGTTTACAGGAGTACAAAGGCCCATCTTTTTTCTGGGGTGCACCTGAAGATGGTTTCAAACTGCTGACCCCACAGATCACAACCCAACATGTAACTACTACACCACCGGGGTTATTAGTTAAGCAAAAGAAAGTGCTTAATTTCCAAAAACAGCAGGCCAACCACATCCAATAGAAATGTTACATGTTTCCAGGCCCCCTCTGACACACAATGATACATATGCATAAATTAAAAAAAACATTTAATGCTATGTAGATGTAAAATGATAAAATTAATATGATGATAAAGTACCTATCAAGATGAAACACCTTTATATGAAAACATAAAGAGCCTAATATTTTAAAGCATTTAAAAAGAAAGTGAATTTACAGCACCAAACCACGTTTTCAACTATTCTTACCTCAAGAGCTTTAAAAAAATATTCAGAATTGTCTGAAGACTTTAAAAACTTCACTAAGAACGGTTCTCTGACATTTCCGGGCATTTTCGAACTGTCAAAAGAAAAGGATTATTAACAAGAAAACACACATTTATTACCAATGAAGTTCAAATTGTATAGCACTCATTTTTCTGTGCAGAATGTCTAAGGGTGGGCATTTGACCATGCCCGGGAATTCGTCCAGCACGTTTGTATGAAATGCTAGAATGTGGCAAAATCAAAGAAAAAGATAGTATCACACAGCACAAAGCATAAAGAAACTAACGCCCCTAACTGAACGCCACGAAGGCCCTCCCGCTGGGGCTGTTAGGTCCCAAGGGGGAAAGAACATTTCATGACACGGAGCTTAACGGAAGAGCCCTCTGCTCCCGTAAGTCTGCCACCCACGGCCCGCGCCGGCTGCTCCCCGCTCGGAAAAGGGGTTTTAGCATAAACAGAGACGCCAGTTAGCAAGCGCGTGCCTCCCCCAAGGCCTGGGTCCTGCTTACTCCCCACGGAAGAGCCTGGCCGTCGGTCCAGCCGCAGTCAGGTCCACTCCGGCGTCAAAGTCCCGTCCGCCGCTGGGAGGGCAGAAAAAGGGGGGCCCCCGGGCCACTGATGGCTTGGCGACCGCTAGTTGGAATCGGGCCCTCAATCCGCACCTCACTCACCTCGATGGAGCCCCGGGGTCTCCGGGCGGCGAATGAGTCGGCTCGCGGCGGGCAGGGCGGCGGCGGGGGTCGGGCGCCAGCCTGGCGCAGCGCCGCCCCACCCGGCGGCCCCCAAGTCTAAGGTCCGCGCAGGAAAACCCGGAAACGGCCGAGAAGAGATCTGACTTTCGCGCCAATGGCGCGGGCGCGCGCCCTTCCGGCGGAAGTGACGCAATCAACAGCTGCCGCGGCTGGGCGTGGGAAGTCCGGAGACTAGGAGGTGGGGTTGACCGCTGTAAGGCCACGCCGAGCTCCCGGCGCCTGCTCGGGTCCTGGCAGCGAGGCTGTGAGGGGGCTAGCGTGGGCTCCCCTGGGAATTGGCCAGCCCCGGGGAGTACGGAGGAGGCGCCTCAGACCAACGACAGCGAAAGCCAACCAAACCCAACCCACTACCAACTCGCGACGACCTCACACGACCTTGGAACGGCTTCGCAGAATGTCCAAGGCTGTCCATCTTCATAGAAGAAGATTGTAAAAAGGTGTTTGCCCTGTGAGTCGGCTGCCGGGTTCAAACCCCCAACCTTGAGGTTAATAACCCAACTCTTAGGCTACTGTAGCACCGGGGCTCCTTTAGAGGCAGCACAGCCCAAGATAAGGAGGATTTCAATCAGAACCAACTATGCTGCAGTGATGGACATCTTGTGTTGGGCAAACTCACTGCTCATTCCATCGAGTCTAGTCTGACTTACTCCCACCCTGTAGGACAGGGGTTTAGAAGCCTGTGAATCTTTGGTGAAGCAGAAAGTTTTACCTCCTCACCCCAGGGGCTTCAAACTGCTGACCTTGTGGTTAGCAGCCACTCATGCCCACTACGCCGCCAAGACTCCTTTGATGCCAAACTGTACTCAAAATGTTATGTATTATTTTCTCGAATAGCTCTGGGGTAAATAGTGGCATCTCCATTTTACAGACGTAAAGAAGTGGTGTATCCTAGACAGTATCGTATGTGGTAAAGACTGGATCCATCTTTTTATGACTCCAGATTTTTTTCCCTCCAGAAGAACGGGAATATAAAACCACTGCCTACCACAGCCTATGGTTCTAAAGCAGTGGGTCGTGACCACTTTAGGGGTCGAAAGACCATTTCACAGGGGTTGCTTAAGACCATCGGAAAACACATGTATTGAAGGGTTGAGGCATTAGGAAAGTTGAGAACCACTGACCTAGGGGATCTCTTGGATTCCAGGCATATTCTTCTTTACTTCCGTCATACAGCACCAGTCCAATTTCCCTTTGATAATCAGGATTAATCACACCACTCAGCACAGTGACACCCTGCTTTACCTGTTGATCCAAAACACCTATCTAAAAACACCTGTGTACATCGAAAGACTTCGGCAAGAGAGTACTAAGAGATCCCACAGACAGGGAAATCATCTTTAGCTATGACACATCAGACAAAGGCCTTATTACTAAAATCTGTATTCTGCTAGCCCACCATAAGAAAAAAACAAATAGCCCATTGAGGAGGTGGGGGAAAGACCTGAACAGACGTTTCACAAGGGTGGATATCCAAATGGCCAAGAAACATATGAGAAATGCCATAAGGAAAAGGCAAATTAAAACAGCTATGAGATACCACCTAACACTCAAAGATAGCCCAATTCAAAAAGTCAGAAAGCAAGTGTTGGGATGAGGTGAGCCAGAAACTCTCATCCACTGCTGGTAGCCCTGTACATATGTGCAGCCATTATGGAAATTGATTTGGTAATATCTAAAACAAATGGAAATCAAGCTATCATACGACACAGCAATGCCCCTCCTGGGCATATACCCAGAAGTAAGAAACTGAGCACGACCAGACATCTGCACTCCAATGTTCATCACAGCGCAGTTCACAATCACAAAGAATTGGAAATAACCTAAATTTCCACCAACCAATGACTGGATTAAAAAGCTCTGGTATATACAAACAATGATGTGGTAGTTCCATAATCTGGTGTCAATTTGAGAGTGTTGGGGTGGAGCCTAGCCCGTCAATCAGGATACAACTAATGAGGCCTCTGCGTGGGCAAGGCCTTCTAAAGATTCTGGGAACTCCTGTATTCCTCCTTGGAGGCGAGAGATACTTTCACTGTCTGCTCACTCCTTGAGAGATGTTCTACTGATAAGACACATGTAAGTAAGCTAGAGCCTCGCAGCTGACTGGCTCATCTCCCCACGACCCTTCCGTAAGAGGATGTCCAATTGCCTACAGATGGGCTTTGGGTCTCTACTCTGCACTCCCCCT